CTGCATGTTCTATAATTCCCTTTCCTTTCTCTTTTCAAACCCGCACATATTCTAACATTTACTTGTCGCTTAATACTAAAGCATCTCTTAATTTCTATCATTTCTCTCGTCTCCATGTTCATTAGGTTTATGGTATTATAGAGAACATGAGTGGTTATGTGTGTCCTAACTGTAAACATCATTCAAACGTGTTTGGTAAAGTAGGAGGAGCTAACAAACTGTCTAAAGATGTGGGCGTGGACATAATAGGTTACTATAGCAACACGTCATCATTAATATTGATCACTTCTTTTTCATTCTCCACTTCATTTATTTCTCTTTTAATTGCTTTGTGCCTTTGTCCTCTCTCTCTCTCTCTCTCTCTCTCTCTCTCTCTCTCTCTCTCTCTCTCTCTCCCTCTCTCTCTCCCTCTCTCTCTCCCTCTCTCTCTCCCTCTCTCTCCCTCTCTCTCTCCCTCTCTCTCTCCCTCTCTCTCTCCCTCTCTCTCTCTCTCTCTCTCTCCCTCTCTCTCTCCTCTAAAGGTCTGGTTCCATTAGATGGTGATATTTGTGAATTATCAGATAAAGGTCAGCCAATAGTTATATCAAGGCCTGATAGTCCACAGGTATATTTAATAATTAATTAATGTTGTTCTATTTCATTATACAGGCTAATTCATATAAGAATATAGCTGAGAGGGTTCTGGAATTATTGCCACCTTCTGCAGAAGGTGGCAATTACTACTGGCATACTACTATTCATCAGTAGTATGCCAGTATTACTACTGGCATACTGGCATTTACTAATTTGGCATACTACTATTCATCAGTAGTATGAATAGTAGTTCCAGCCCCTCCCACACAAGCAGTTTAGGAACTGTATGTGTGTGATTATTATATTTACACTGAATATATGGGGTAGTTGATAAAGTATATATATTTAAGCCAAATTGTATTTCTTACACAAAAATTGTTAGTTTTCTATATCAACAGGAGCCCATCAACTATAGACAAATAAAACGAACCAATTTGATGTGATTTGTATACTTT